CAGTTCTCTCCCATTTTCTTCTAAGAAAAACAATAAAAAGAAACACCAGGTTTCTACTTACTTTTACATTAATACGCAAATACATTAGAATATTACCTGCGAAAGCCATTCTTCATCTTCTTGTCCACTATGGTCAGAGGCTAAGCTGTCATAGGACCCATGTCGAGTAATGGGCCCAGGACTTCCAGGGGGGGCCACTGTAAGGGAAATAAAATGAATTTAAACCACTTTAATTAATACAGTAGAGAAGTGGATGTGAACAACTCAAATAATGGGGTAATTTATAAGACAAAATATGATACTAAAGAACAGAGGCAATTCACACAATTAATGAACAAATATGACTAAAGTCTCATGTGCATAAGAAAGATTTCCAATTAAAAGCATACTTTAAAAACTATCTCCAAGGCTAGCCAGGAATGGCAGTGCACTCCTACAATCACAGTTACTTGGGAAGCTAAAGTACCAGCATCGCTTGAGTCTAGGAGCTGGAGAACATCCTGGACACAGTAGCAAGACTCTTATCTCAAAAACACACCAAAAAACCCTACAGAAATTTAGTAAATGCATCTTATCACTACTAACACCAAAAATACATGAAGAAGCAGTTGAAAAATTCAATGGAGGATTAGAAGACCATCTGATATTTTCACATGAGTGACAGGCATTAAATGATGTTTAACTGAAAAGCACAGCTGCTAAAATTTTTTCATTTATTCAAATAAATATGTCACTCTTGGATATTTCAGTAGTGTCCCTGATTCTTAAGTGGTATGAAACAAACATCTTACTTTCTCATATGAAGAGGAACTTTGCTTAGTGAAACTAATAAATGGTTAGCCATATATAATATCACTAAAATCTTAGCATCCCTTTGGGTGGCATATGCTACCTACCTACCTACCTACCTACCCACCTACCCACCTACCTTTAAATAGTACTTTATTTTGTAGAACAGTCTTAAGTTCACAATAGTATAGAACAAAAAGTACATACATTCTCTGTATACTCCTATTTCCTATCTTTACTCACAAGAAATCAAGCACTAGAGTAATGGGAATAGAGAAAAGGAAAAAATCCAGGCGAAGAGGAGTAGAAAAAAAAAAAAAAAAACCAGTGAAATAGAAAAGAATGAGAAAAAGAAAACAATATAATTTCCACAGTGGTGAGAAATGTGATTATACATCTACATTCAAATTTTCTTACGAAGACAACAATATGCAATGTATTAATTATTGTAACTGTCCTACTAACCTGTTCTGAAACTCATTATTATTTCTTTCTCAATAAAATTAATTAAAAAGAAAACAACAAATTTTCTTACACTACTAGGTTCCTAAAATGAAAGAGGATATGAACATTTTCTAAAAGCATAATACACATTCCCCCCAGAAAGAACGTGCATGAGCACTACAGAAGGATGAGCAAAGTATTTAGAAGAACTGTATTTTAGTGAAACAATACAAATGTAGACAAAATATGGTATACCAGAAAATTTTTGAAGATACATGCTTATGAAAATGTTATCTTCACTTGCTACAGGAAGAGAAATGAGGCCTAATTTAGGCAATTACTCAACAGAAATGTATATATAAAGTATAGGAGTGTAAGATTTGTAGAGATTAAAGTTGCACGATTAAAGCTGCAAGTTCCTCAAAGTCATAGTTCTGGAAACGTGCTGGTACCGGCACAAAACACCAGTGAACACAGAGGAATTTGCCTACATTCTTGGAATGGTGAACACTTTCATAAAGAATAACATAAAAAGTTTCAAATTCTATTTAAGCATTCGTTTGGAAATAATGTCAAGTCAACTGATGTATTTAAAAACCTGAGTGGCCTACAAACTATTTATCACCCATGTAATAAATATATCAGATATCAAATTCTTAATACTGGGGCCGGGGAGATGGCTCAGTGGGATAAGCGCTTGACTGGCAAAAGCAAGGATCTGAGTTCAATCCCCAATTCTGCCAATAAATAAATAAATAAATAAATAAATAAATAAAACACAAACTTGGCTGGGCATGGTGGTGTACACATGCAATCCCAGGACTTGGGAAGCTGGTATGAGGAATGTTGTAAGAGGTCAGCCTGGGCTACACAGTGAGTTCAAGACCAGCCTGAAGTGCACAGCAAGGCCATGTCTCAAAAAAAAAACAAAACAAGCAAACAAAGCAAAATTCAAATTCTTAATACCATCAGAAGAAGATCCCTCAAATCCCCACATTATAAAATGCATAAGGACTAAAACCAGAACTTGGGGTGTGCTTTGAAAAGTAGGCAAAGGCAGAGATGATTTTAAAGAAGTGAAGGAGTAAGTTACGAAGATATCTGAGGGCAAAATCATATGAAAGGAAGATTAAGGGCCAGGGAGATGGCTCAGTGGAATAAGTGCTTCCCTGGCAAGTGCAAGGGCCTGAGTTCAATGCCAGCAAAAAAAAAAAAAAAAGAAAGAAAAGGAAGATTAAGTACACAGAGTTTGAGGTAAAGTAGAAAAGGGGATGTTTCAGGAAGAGTCTTGAGGCCACAGCAGTTGGGGGGTGAGGGTCAGGGGGAACCAGGCTGTGAGAAGATGACAGGGAAGAAAAAAGTACCAGCAGGACTCTGGGGCTACTGTAGTACAACACTGAAAGCTAAAAGCAGATGTGAGAAACCACGCCCTTGTGCAAGGAACTACTAACCACCATCAGCGTTCCCAAGTGTGAATGTTGTGTGCTGCACATGCTAAGCCTAGTCTAGTACTTGTCATAGAATAAGTGCCCATTATTAACTGCTTTGGACCATATAAAGTGCTGCTATCTGCAGGAAACCTGGCCACCTTCATAATTATGATAAAGTACTAGGTATAATGCCAGAAGAGAATGCAGAGGCAGTAGCAGATAGCTCTCACGAAGTATTTCTCAAAAATGGTACTATATTGTACTTACTTTTAGCATTAAAGAAATTTAATGTGTTTGTTGGGTTTTACATTTTGGACAATCAGGATCCCACGTGTTCAATATAGAGACCACTCCCTGAATTTAAAAGACCAAAAGTGTGTCTTTTAAGTCGATTGTCTTAATTAGTTTACTACAAAAACTTTCTCTGAATTTTAGAATGAAACATGCTGCTTATGACAAAATTAGGTATTTAAGGTACCAGTTGAATGTTTTAAAATCTTTGCAACATAGAACAGAAATATGTAAGAATGATATATGTTGAATGTTCCCAGGTATTTTCACAGATTTGACTTGTTTCTTGACAAAGTTAGGACATTAGGGAAGGGTACGCTGAACATAAATGAATAGGATAAGCGACTGAGACCTAAAATTTGGCTTTGATTTTAAATCTTTAATTTATTCCTGTAAATACTATCAATAGGTTTTTTGGTTTTGTTTGTTTGTTTGTTTGTTTGTTTGTTTTTTCTTTTTTCTTTTGGAACCAGGGATTGAACTTAGGCCCTTGCACTTGCCAGAGAAGCGCTTATTCCACTGAGCCATCTCCCCAGCCCCTTCAATAGTATTTTTTAAATCATTATTTAAAAAAAAAAGAAAGAAAGAAAGAAAGAAAGAAAAAGAATAAGCACCCATAAGTGTTAAGTAGAGGGACGGTGTTTTGCATTTGAAATTAAGTAATAATATCAGAATGGAGGGATACTTATTTATCCATCATCGAAAAGTGTGTAATATGAGGTCTAGAAATAACTTCAAAATAACTTCAGGAAAGAGACTGAGCTGGAGAGCAGCATTGCAGATAGAACAAGATTAGTCATACGCTGATCTTTGTTGAAATCGGCTGGTAGGTAAATGGAGGTTTATTACACTATTGTTATATGGTTTTGTGTATGTTTGGAATTTCCCACAATAAAAAAGGAGGAAAAGGAGGGTTAAGGAGAAGGATCCTTTCTGTCGTCATCTGTTTTCCAAAGGAAGCAATAAACATACCAAATATACATCTAAGAAACAGTACCATAAATCTGAACCTCAAGCTCCTAGAGAGAGTAATAGGGATTCCATGCCTTCTATTCATGAGTTTTCTAATTAAAGAATGCTTTGAAGCCCTTGGAAGATGAATGTTATAAAACTATGTCTGGAGGTAAAATATTTTTCAACAATAAAAAAAATCTTTTCTTCTCCTCTACATTTACTCTTTGCTCACCACCTTGAAAAGATAAGTGAAAAGTTTAAATCTAAGAAGAAAAAAAAAAAGTGAAATAGCAGAGCTTGCAAGCTCCCTTACTACCCAAACAGTAATGGTGGTACAGACAAAAAGTGGAGAAGGTCCCCAGAGAGGGAGACGGGTTCCAGGAAGCACCAAGCGATAGTGCGAAGAAGGAGGTATGCACGCAGCAGTGGGTGTGCACAGCCCTGTCTGGACAACACGGCTGAGAAGAGTGTGTACAAGAGTAACAAAGAGGGAAGTCCAGAGGGTCACAGGACTCGAAGCAGAAACAAGAAGGAGCACTGCAAAGACCAACATGACCCTAATGTGATGGGGAATTGGGATGTGATGGGCAACAGGGATGACAATAAGGACAAACGTCCTCAGCTCTTTATGTCCTAGTTATACATTCTGTTAAAATACTTTACAAGGGGTTGTAACTGATAGAGATGAATTCTCCCAACTCCTAATAATGTGGTTATAAAAGTGAAATGTGTACAAATCTATTTAAAAAAAAGTTCTGTATCTTGCAAACCCAAACACAGTGGGCCAAGATACATACCAGCTACAAAAAGAAAAGCATTCTGTATTTTTATGAACATTTATCAATTATGTTTAGATAATTAATAAATGCCTACAATAGGCGGCCGGGGAGATGGCTCAGTGGAATAAGCGCTTCTCTGGCAAGCACAAGGGCCTGAGTTCAATCCCCGGTCCGGCAAAAAAACAAATAAATAACTAAATAAATAAATACATAAATGTCTACAATAAAAGGATATGAACTTTTGAGATATAAATCTTACCATATTCTATTCCTGCCTTTAGTAGTTAAAAGCACTACAGATCCCCCTAGCTAAGCAAACTATACTATCAATGTGCTTCAGAGTATAACTTCAAAAATTACTGTAAAATTGAGTGTGGTGGTGCACACTTTTAATCCCAGAACTCTGAGAGGCTGAGGTAGGAGAATCACAAGTTCAAGCAGAATCTGAACAACTTAATGACTTAGCAAGATGCTGTCTCAAAATAAAAAAAAAGGTGGGGGATACAGCTC